ATTATAGGGAGAATGCTGTCGTGGTAGATCCAGCTGCTGTAATCATGGTGCTGGATGGTCCTGTGGTCCCAAAGGCACCTGCGTCTGGGGCGGACTGATCACTCCGGTCGGTGCAGTGCTTTCCACAAAGGCAAAATAATAACAAATGCAAACATAATGATATCAATCATTGATCATTAACTTTGAACATAAGATGCTTGAGTTTTAGTGCTTCTATAAGTTGTTCCTAGTTAATGAGGGTCTAGAACAAAAGGAGGCATTCTCCTTCTCACAGATCTATAAACTTAGCAGCACATGATTTTTTGCAGTCAAGAGCATGTACAATGTCCAAAGGATTTTAGTGGTTGCAGTTAAGTGTTGTGCTTTTTCTAATCAATAGACTAAAATATTTATTATGAAATTACTGGTTAAATTTTTTAGCTGTTCACTGAGGAATTTTAGCCACTGTAGACAATTTTGATATTGACAAATTGTGATATTCACCACATGAATTAGGTCTTTAGCAATGTTCACAGGCTAATAGTTGGGAAAGCAAAGGAAATCAGTCAATCAGTTTACAATAGTAGTCTTTGTTTTATTTGGTGAAGACACTGAAAGTTATAAAAGCATGCCGTGCACTTCTTTAGGTCCCTTTACCAGCTTATTTACAACTGTTCCTTTTCTGTTTGTCCTAAAGCGGAAAAGGACCCTACCTGAGCAGTGATGGACTGACCAGTGATGGACTGTCCTTGTACAAGTAAGTCAACCACTGTATCATCTTTCAGTTTGTTTATTGGAGTAATACATGTGAGAGTATGATGTCACTGTCATATTAAAACCTGAACACCTTCATTTAACCTAAAATATCCCTGAAGATTTCTTTTAAGACTTAAACGCTGAATCTGCAGGGACAATTTTCCCTTCAAAGTTCAGTCTAAGAGGTTGGTTTTGCATGATAAATGAATTTTAGCCAGTATCTGAAAAATGGAAGCTGTGATAAAGCTAAAGCGTGGACATATTAAATATTGAAAAAAATGCATTGTGAAAAATGAATAAAAAGTAGTGTCTGATTTATGGAAGTCCGGAGAAGCCATGAGCCTTGCTACAATTTTCTGGATTGTCATCTTGAGATAACAAGACAATTAACTCATCTCAAGAAAATGGATTTTTTTACTTCGAGATCACACAATAAATAACTTGTTGTCTGAAGATAAGTTTTATAACAATTTTGTTATCTTGAGATCACAAGATAATTAACTTAAGATTGCAATGTTGTTTTCTTTAGATGACAAAATAATCAACCTCATGGCCTCTCCGGACTTCTGTACTGACTTGCACAAGAAATGAATGAAAGTGAACAGTAAGTGCATAAAAACATTTATTTATTTTTCTGTGCTTGTGCTGATTAAGGTGTATAGATATAGTAAGTGAAGATGTTTTGCTTAACAGCTGCATTTAAGCCAAAGGTTTTCATGTCGTGGATGTTGTCTAACTGGTGTTTCTTTTAAAGGAGGCCTGCTGCTCTTGGATCTTCCTGATAATCTATAATGATTTGCGATGGCTTCTGTCTATATAAACACACAAATAATCTCTTCTGCTGAGTTATATCATAACCATTATGTTCCTGCGACTTCATTTAGTCAGCTGTGAGCAGCGATGGAGTAACTCTGCTGACAATTTCAAACACATGTATTCAAGGTTTTTTTCAAGAAATTCACACTGCCAATACTTTTCTCTGCGTCTTTAAAAGCTGTATCAAAAAATCTGCTGTATACAAACTTACATAACTGTGTACATTTCCAGTATTTTCTCAGATCCTATAAAACCATTTTAAAGGGGAATGTGAAGTGCATTGTAAAGAAACATCCTGTGCAAATATAGAAAAACGTGCTCAGACTTCCAAAGCGTTTACTGACTCATTAAAAGCTATTACGCAAATGCCTCCCTCCAGAAAACAACTTTATCTTGAGATCGCAAGATATATAACTCACTGTTTCAAGATTACAATTTTGCTATCTTGAGATCACAAAATAATTACCTTGTCTCAAGAAAACAACTTTGCTATCATGAGATCACAAAATAATTTGTCTCAAGAAAACAACTTTGCTATCATGAGATCAAAAAATAATGATCTTATTGCAAGAAAACAACTTTGCTATCTTGAGATCACAAAATAATCTCTGTATTTTGAGATCACGAGATATCATCAACATTCCATTTAAATCTCAGAAGACTCGTGTAGGTTCACTGGTTGTTTTGGATGGTAAATAAACTGTTTATATTTGTGTTGTAGTCATGGCGACCCCTGGTTCCTATCACCACCACTGTAAAGACATCTGAACCATTTCACACCAAACCACTCTGAATCACTCTGTTTACATCTCACACACTCAACTATACGGACATTGTGAAAAAATCTAACTTAAATGGAGATCTAGAAAAAGTATGTCTACAGTGTAAAAACCTACAGTGAGAGTTATTGCACTAATATGGTCCCAAAAATGTTGAATGAATGTTTAACTCTCAAGACCAAACACTAAATGGTTATATACTTGAAGTATATTTATATGTATTATATACTTGAAATGAGGTCTAATGGGCTTTTAACTGTTTAGCTGCATATTATGCAATGCTCTCTAGAACTTCACACGTGTTTATAGGAGCAGAGGAGTTTATTAAGAGGAAGCAAATTATATGATGAAGTATTTAAATACATCTAAAACTGTTCATTCGCATCATTATTTAAAATAACTTCATTCTTCATATTTATGACTTACTTTAAACTTTACATATTTAACTTTAAACAAATGCCCTCCCATTATTCCAGCACTGTAGGCAAAATTCTGAAATCTGAATCTGAAACACAAATCAAGATAATTTAGGTTGTTTTTACTGAATTACATGCTAAATTTAAGGCTAATGTGTTTTTCTTTATGTTTTTTATAGTATTATGTGAAATTATATTATTGTGAGATGCACAATATATATGCATATCTTTTTTCCTATAATACGTCTGTATACATGTATACACACACACACACACACACACACACACATATATATATATATATATATATATATATATATATATATATATTATGGCAAGCCAAACAGGAAATATTTAATGAACATTGATATATATGGAATGAACATTGATATATATATATATATATATATATATATATATATACAATGAACTTTGATATATATACAATGAACTGATATATATGGAATGAACACTGATATATATATGGAACGAACATTGATATATATGGAATGAACATTGATATATATGGAATGAACTTTGATATATATATACAATGAACATTGATATATATTGAATGAAAGTCGCTGTTGAAGGGTTGAGGATGGCCAGGAAGGGAATTCTGATAAAGTGACCAGTATCTATACACAGTGATCCCATGGACAGAGTCACCTGAGAGTGGCTGATATATGATGTGAAGATGGGTGGAGCTTCAATATGTACATAATTTGACATGGTGCAGAAGAAGAGTCAGATGAGGCCATAACTTCTGTTTGAAAAATGCTCTTTTATTGAGAGCAAGGGAAAACAATGCCACTTGAAAAGCAACTGAAAACTGAGGGAGGTCACTCCTAGCCCTACTCTTTCTTCTGATGGTCACCAAACACAAACACACTCTCCCCAACTCTGAGCTGGACACAAAACAACACACACTGTAACTGAAGAACAACAACATAGCAACATTAAATAAAAATGTAAACAGTCTGTTTGGGGTGCAAGGCTACAACACACAACCCACAAGTCCCTCTCTGTCTAAACAAAACATTTTATAAATTATATTATTCATTTTTTAATCTCAATGTTCGATCCATGTATATCAAGGTTCATTCAATATATATAAATTTTCATTCAATATATATAAACTTTCATTTTGTTTGGAGGTCTGTAGTGATCGACTCTGCAGAAAGTTGGCGACCTCTGTGCACTATGCGCCTCAGCATCCGCTGACCCCGCTCTGTCATTTTACGTGGCCGACCACTTCGTGGCTGAGTTGCTGTCGTTCCCAATCGCTTCCACTTTGTTATAATCCCACTGACAGTTGACTGTGGAATATTTAGTAGTGAGGAAATTTCACGACTGGACTTGTTGCACAGGTGGCGTCCGATCACGGTACCACGCTGGAGTCCACTGAGCTCCTGAGAGAGACCCGTTCTTTCACTAATGTCTGTAGAAGCAGTCTGCAGGCCTAGGGGCTCGGTTTTACACATCTGTGGCCATGGAAGTGATTGGAACACCAGAATTCAATGATTTGGATGGGTGAGTGAAGACTTTTGGAAATATAGTGTGTGTATATATATATATATATATATATACATATATATATTAGACAAACAAACAAGCAAACACAAATGTAAACTATTGCCTAAATACTTTATCATTCAAGTTATTATTAAATTCTGTTTGTTTTGGGGTGGGCAAATTCTTTTGGCTTATAACTGTCACTAATTGTTAGAAAACATTTAAAGTGACAGGTATGGTTATTAAAAGCACATTCTTTTAATCAAAACATCATTTTTGGGCCTAAGCCCACATGCAGTGACACCTATGGGTCAAACATTTGTTTATTTGTCAGTTAATTGGATTATTTGCATTGTTCATTATTCATTCAGTCACCTCAGCAAGAAGGGCCTGGGTTTGATTGGGCGACCAGGGTCCTTTCTGTGTGGAGTTTGCATGTTCTCCCCGTGTCAACGTGGGTTTCCTCTGGGTTCTCTGGTTTCCTCCCACAGTACAAAGACATGCAGTCAGGCCAATTGGACATGGTAAATTGCCCTAGGTGTGAGTGAATGTATGTGTGTGTCTGTCTGTCTGCCCTGTGATGGACTGGTGACCTGTCCAGGGTGTATCCTGCCTTCCGCCTGATGACAGCTGGGATAGGCTCCAGCACCCCCTGCGACCCAGAAGGAGAAGGGGCTTAGAAGATGTGTGTGTGTGCTGATTGTCATGTGCTCTTCTAGCAGAGTTAACCAAAGTTTACCTGACTGTCACTCGCATATCTGCACCAGTGTTACTGTGCATTGTCTCTTAGTGCATAAATCAATCAAAGCACATACTTCTCCTCTGTTTCACAAATGAAAGTGAAAGAAGCAACAGAGTGAAAGATACTTTACACAGACTGCTATTGTTTTGGCTGTTTGATATGCGCCAAGTGTCAAGGAGAACATGAAACTTAGATCTGTTCTGTTTGAGCAGTTGTGTTGTTCCAACCTCAAAGTATGTAGCTGTGATTGATATCAAACAATGAACTGAGCATGCTTTAGGATTCCACTTTGTTTCTTTTCTTCTGAAAGGAGCCTTTGTAAACCTTGTTGATCAGAAACATAGTGGTTTCTAATACCAGTCATCTCAACAGAGACAACTTTATATAATACAAAACAATGTAATAGTTAATGAAAAAGTAAAATATACAATAGGCGTCAAATGTTTGGTGGTAACCAGGATATTCTAAAGCATAAAGAAGGCAGGACTGTCCTACTATTTCGTCCTGAATAATCACACATGATCCATGTACAAAACAATCTGAGTGATCGTTAGCGGTTTTCAACATATTTACATATTTAAATCATTGAGATTGTAGAAAAACTTACAAACTCAGATGTCTTTACAGTGGTGGTGATAGGAACCAGGGGTCATCATGACTACAACACAAATATAGACATTTTATTTAGTCAAATGCAAAAGTTGGAATATATTTTGTTGATTTTCTCATTTTAAGTAAGTTAATAAAATGTAAAATGTGCCATTCTTCGCACAGGCCACAGTTTATTAGGTTAAATTCACCACATAACACTGTCCACTCACTGTCCACTCTATTAGACACTCCTACCTTGTCAGTCCACCTTGTAGATGTAAAGTCAGAGATGATAGCTCATCTTCTGCTGCACAGTTTGGGTTGGTCATCCTCTAGTCCTTCATCAGTGGTCACAGGACGCTGCCCACAGGACGCTGCCCACAGGACGCTGTTGGCTGGATGTTTTTGGTTCGCAGTCCAGCAGTGACACTGAGATGTTTAAAAGTCCAGCAGTCTCTGGACCTTTAAAGTCTGATCTATTCTGTTACATAAACTTATTATTGTATGTTCATCAAAGTAATAAAGTAACTCTAAATTAATAAAAGTTGTACCTTAAGTGAATGTAATAAAACGTTCACTCTCTTTTTAACAGTGAGACCTCTTTGTAATAGCCCTTAATAAGAGCTTCAAACTTTGTTTTTACCTTGTTCTGCTTATTGAGCTGGAATTACTATATATTTGGAAGAAAAGAAGACAATTTTGATGATCATCAAAAAAAAAAAGCAATTCTGAATCAAATTGATACTCGTTTGGCCTTCTTTAAATACAATACCAGAAATTTAATTTCAGTACACTGTAAAAATGGTTCAGCGGTTCACCTAAAACATTTACTTCATGTGGTTACAAGTAAATTAGGTAGTTTTATTCAGCCTAAATCAATACATTGAATGAATGATTCTTTCAATTGAAGTGATTTTGGGTTGAATAAAGCTAGTTAATTTACTTCTTATTACATGATGTAGTTGAACTGATGAATCATTTTTTAGTTTAGTTGAACTCAAATTTTAGCATGTGACTCCACTCTGAATGTTTATGTGCAGTTTAACACCTTAAATGTCCAGAACCCACCATCGGGGCCAAAGTTTTATTACGCACTTCTATAAGAATAGCTCAGCCAGTTTGCTACAGTCCCTGTAGTTACTGAATAATAAGCCTTAGTATGTAATAAATCTGGGATTTTAAGGGCTTTACTCCACAAATATAAAAAAAAAATTGAGCCCTTGGCTGTGATACATTTACTTCAGCACAGGTAACTGTTCTTTATCTAAGCACAGACTCTCTGACTGAATGTGAGGAACTATTTGAGCCCCCCCCTCCACCTGGGAACATGGGGTAGTCCTGGCCCGGAGGTAAGAATTAACAATGAACAAACAGGGATGGAAGAGAAAAGTCTGACGAAGTCAAAAATTAGGAGCTGCACTTTGCCCTCACTGAGGTGGGAAATTTTGACTAGGGATGCATCAATACTGATACAGGTATCAGGTATCGGCCCATACTGTGCTCATTTACTCTTACTTGAGTTCATAAAATTGCACCAGTACCAACAAACCAGCCGACAGGGCTGGAGTGGGACTTTCAAACCGAGAGTTGATGCAGACCAGCCCACCCCAAACTCTACACACACGCAAAGTGGGTAGGTGAACTCTGTCAAGCAATGTCATTACATCAGGCTTTTCCCAACAGCAATACTGTGGTCACCCTACATATTTCAACACGTCTGCCCTGATACAAAACAATAGTATCCAATCAAAAAGCTGGATTCACATAAATGCACCCTGCCGCACCTTCACCATAACTCATGCATCCACTCAGCACAGCATAACATCTATACAGAGAAGATGATAAAAGTAAGTTAAGATCAGACAGCTGATGTACAAAGAACAGAGACTGCTGTTGAAAAAGACAGACGAGGATTAAAACTAGGGGTGTGTCGATACCATATTCAGTGTTGGTATTGGTCCAATACTGACTAAAATCCATGGATTGGATATCGGAGTGAAAAAAAATATATAATTTTATATAATCCACTAAACTAAACTATCACATAAATGCTTTGCACAAAACTGCTTTTGAATGTTTGAATGGTGCAGACCCATCAAAAAGCTGCTAAAAGTTCCTTTGTCAAAAAATTTAAATAAAAATAATAACTCATGTTGTGAACCATGTATTTCTTCCTTTAAGGGAGTAAAATGTTTGTTTCACAGGTTGAGCATGATGTTTTTTAGGTGCCTAAGTTAAACAAAGTGCATCTAGACAAATGTAGTATTAACAGCTCAGTTGTTTAAGAGAGGAAAAAAAAAGGTATCGGATTGGTATCGGTATCGGCATATAGGCTGTGGTATCAGTATTGGTATTGGGCTTGAAAAAACGGTATCAAGAAACTTCTGATCAAAGCTATGAAACATACTTCACTTACAGCTGTACAGAAGCACTTTTCTGCCTGCTCTTCTCCACTGCAGTGCTGCTCGCTTCATGGTAACTAATGTAGCATAGCTAGTTAATGCACTTCATTTACAATCAGCTAGATTTTAATGATTTAAATATTAAGACACGTTACACTTATTTACACTACCAGCTACTCCATTTTAAGTAGGACACAAATAGGTATGGTATCAGAATCGGTATCAGTGAATATTTAAAATATATACTTGGTCTGAAAAAAAAATGGTATCATTGCATCAGTACTTTTAATTGAATCAAAATTGAGTAAACTCAATTAAAAAGATGTGATTTTTTTTCTTATAAAATTTTTAATTGATCTGACTAATTTTTTACACTGTACTACAATGCAAAATGATATAACATTATTTAACACAATGCCATGTTTTGTTTCACACATGTTTTATTTATTTTTTATTTTTTTAATCATTTATCAAAAAAGTTTGGATTTGGTTTTGGTTGGCGTTGGTTTTATATAAACTATATGACAAATTATTGTTTTTTATTGACATGTTTTTGACTCTGTCTAAAAAAGTTGCTGAAGGTAAATATTTGAAACATTTCAAAACAATAATGAAGCAACAGTACAAGCTTGTCTGTAAGGAATGGGGAAAGACAATTTTCAGCCATTTCTTGTAAGGAACCAGGGTGTTACCTTCAGCTTAAGACATGCTTTATACAGTGTCTTTAAGCTGACAGATGAAGCACATGCCAAAGAAAACTTTTCGTTATTACACAGCATAATTCACATGTTTTGAACCCAGTACTAATCTTCTGATAAAGCCTACAAGGCTCATCATAATTAATCATAGTTGAAAGAAAAACAAGGTTTTACTCTAACAGTGCATTTCTGCTGGTCCATTTGTCTTGAAATAATTACACAAAATAAAGGGCAAGTGATGTATAAACAGTTGTATGCAAAAGTTTGGTCAAATTTCATGTTTAGTAGTGTAAATACGTTAATGCATCTTGTACACAGAACACATTTCTGCGTATTTTAATACATAATTTCTATTGATTTGCTAAGTTCACTGTGTTGGGAAAAAAGAAAACATAAACTTTAGTACTAATTCTTATTTCCAATGGCCATCAGTGAAGTAGCAGTAGCAAGTAGCAATAAGACATACCGAGTTTCTCACAATGACAATAACTGTTAAGCTTTGTTTAATTTAAAAGCACAAATGAAAATTTGTATGAACATTTTACGCATCTCAACATGGTTTGCACTGAAAAAAACAATAAATAGACTTTATTGAACAGTCATATGCAAAATGACATTGTACTGATTTTCTAAAAGGAAATAAATCAACACATCCTCTGCACAGAACACACTTAAATATGGCAATTTTTTTTTCTAATTATAGTGCACAATTTCTGTTTATTTGCTGACTTTTGAGCACAATGTAAGATTAAAACATAATTTATAAATTGTGTCATAACTTATGCACAGGCTACATTTTATGTTTTATTTTTCCCCAGTATGTTAAAATCAACCGACCAGGGGTGGTCTAACTTGCATGTGCCTGTATGTGATATATACACTCTTTGGCTGGAATGTGCAGCTGCTGTTGCTCTCACTGGACGTCAGTGATGGAAATTGAAAACGTTTTTTCTGTAGAAATCAGGTGATTTTCTGTGAGCACATAATGAAATGATTGTTATTGATTTATTGAAGGTAATAAATACATATAGCTACAACATAACGCACCGCTTTTAAATGAGAAAGTATCTTTGGGGTCAAATCATGCAAGACGCAGAAAATCTAAATACTATTCATGATCAAATATGTTAATAATTCAACGTGTATATTTGTTAAGGTATAAGGGTAATGACTTAGAATAAATAATTTCTCTATTGACTTCCATTAAACGTTAAGCATGTTTTATCCCTCTCCTGTAAAGTTCCCTTTTCGAAATACAAGTTATTGTTCCAAAAGTGACAAAATGTTGCTGAGTGTTATGCAACTGATTATATTGCATCATCAGGAAACATACTGTTCTTTTCAACACATCAGTTGACCTCAAACTTGTCAATCCAGTTCATGGAGCAGGATCTAAATTCCTGAGCCAAATTTGAGAATATAAAAGAGCGTTCGAAAGTGGATTTCACACAGCGGAGCCAAAAGCTGACCACATCTCACTAAGAAGAAAAGAAGAAGCTCTGACCCACTCCATCAGAAATCTACCACAAGAGCAAAAGTGAGTGTTTTAGTAAACTACTGAATCAAGAAAATTTAAATTGTTTGTATTGTAAAAATTTATTCAGTACTAAAATTGTCTTAAATGTGTACAATTTATTTAGTATTTCTAACTGACAGATTTTTCTAAGATTTATTTGTAAGATTATTTAACCAGTTTCTAGACATTTTAAGTTACTGTAAGAAATTTTGCAAGTTGGAAATATTGTCATAAATTGGCAGATAGTTTGTCTTCCTCCAAGCATTATTTTCTGAAAAAAGTAAAATTACTCTCCACTTGAATAAGCTTTCACTTGCCAAAACTTCAAATATGTATTAATGTTTTGAAATAAGTTGAAAAGTCTTATAACACTATCATGGCAATCCCATTATACATATTGTCAAAATTATACGTGCCTAGATGTAATATTTTTGCAGACGTTCTCTCTACAGGAAGAGGGTGATATTTGTTCTCCTGTTGTAGATGGTTGCTGTGTTGGCGTTGCTGATGGCACAGTTGGTGTCAAGTGCTGTGGTGAAGCCCGAGGCACATCTCCAACCACCTCTGGACTCCCAGGTCATCCCAGGAGTGCAGTGGTGCAGCTATATTTACTATTGTCCATCCTGCACTTCCTGCTGCAGGAGGGCTGATGGAACTTATGGCTGCTGTGGAAGCAACATGGTGACACTCTGTTATTATTTGATCTGTTTGGTTTATTTTACAGTGTATGTCATCACATCCTTGATAACAGACTAAGTAGGTCCGCAATGGTTGTTCATCAGCTAATGAGATAGATTTTAGTGTTGTGGCAAGACTGAGATCTGGACATATCAAGATCTAGACACAATGATTGCGAGTCAAGACTTTGCGGTTGAGTTAAGGTAAAAAAGTAGTTAATTTTACATTGATTCTACATGATAGATACCATAATAAAAATTATAAAAATAAATCATAAACAAATTAGCCTATCAACATCCCTTATAAGCTGGAGAAGGTGATTTTGTAGAAACCAGAAAATATAAGCTAATTTTTGAAAATATCCAACCAAAAAATTTCCACCGCCTTCTTTTAGCCTTCATTCCAAAGCCCCTCCACCAAAACATGTAAATGTGCATGGCCTGACTACTCAGAGAGTGCACATGTGGGCAGGTCTTGAGGTAGACAGGCAGGTAGGCCATCCAATCATTTCAGTCGGCCCTAAAGAAATGACTGGATGAGGTTTTTACAGTCCTCTGCCCTCCAAAACTTTTTTTCTTTTTATATTCAGAACATTTGATTTATTGATTGCTATCAGGATGTAAAGAGTATTTCATGAAATATAATAAAAATGTTTCTGAAATAAATCTATTCTCTGTCCCTTCTGCTGAACATGTTTCTGTACCTTATTTAACTGAATCTTGAATAAGGAGAGCACTGACCTGTTTTTCTTATATTATCCAGTCCGAGTTCAGACTTTATCTTTAACATGTTGATGTAGATGCGTAGATATTAGAGCTGTCAAGGTGGCAAATTTTTAAAACTTTGGAGTTTTGCATACCACTGTGATATTAAAAAGAATTCAAAAAAGAATATATTAAAAAAAAAAAAATGGAAGTAAAGGCAGCCATGCACTCAATTGACCTCAAGAAAAATGTACAAGCCCATCCTACCCCAGGATCAAGACAAGAGCGAGTCAATTCTGAAACTATTCATTTGCAGTCTCAAGACCAGACTCAAGCACTACAGCACTGCCAGATTTTCGAAGATAAACATTCAACAAGTCAAAAAAAACCACCATTAAATTAACTGTTGCAATCACAAAATCTCAAAATTCAGAATTATTTTTAAAAATACACTGAATACACAAAAGTCATTAGATGGTTTGGGTAGTAGTCGAATGTAGAAAATTGAATTCAAACATTCTCAGTTGAAAAGAGAATATAGTCCAGAAGTTACCTTAGTCTTTGTTTTTTGTTTGTTTGTTTGTTTTGTGGTGGTGTGAAGGGATGCCTTTGAAAAGAAGAGTTTATTTGAAGTAAAAAATAAATGCGCACTTTACTGATTATTATTACAATTATACAGAATTCATTCAAATTGACTTCTAATATTTTTTTATATTTTTTTAATTAGCACATTCTCCTCTAAGTTCTTGATGCCATTTACTCTGTCCTGTTCCAGGTTTGCTGTCCTGATGGGTTCCACTGCTGCCCATACGGGTCCCACTGCGATGCCACGTCCAGTCGCTGTAAACTTGGAGGATCCAGAGGTCTGAGCTTTCCATCATCCCCCCAGCAGCCAGCTACCATGGTGGACACGCCTAAGCTTCAGGTTAGCAATCGTGTTATCGGACACACAGGATTGAATGTATGCCAGTCAGCCAGTTGGGTGTGCCGAGTGGTCGGGTGGGTCTGAATTTAATAAAAAGCCAAAATTTTTTATTCAAGAGGGGTAAAAATAACACCTAAGAAAAAGCAGAAAATGGAGTCACATGTGCTGGAATCAACAGCTGAAAAATGGAGTGAAGAAAGGTCATTTGATAAAATCAGCTCTCCATTGAAATGGCTCACCACTGAAAACAAGTGACCTTTGATTTCAAAAGAAAGTTAAGAAAATGCATTTGAATTGAAAACCAAAGTGGAACATCATCAAATTATTTGATTAAATCTTTCTTTTGAGTGATTTTTTTTGTATGCCATCACTTATCATAGTTATTACTTGCTTCGTCTAGCTTAATGATAATATTTTAGTTACTTGCCTCATTTATTGCTTAACTTCTTGCTAGAAAAAAACAGCGTACCTGGTCAGCAAAATCAGTATATCGTTGCTGTCCAAAGAAACCATGTATCTTCACTTTTGTCGATTTTTAGTTTTCTCCATCATTTCAACATACCAGCTGTCCTTTACGTTGCCTGAAAATTTCATGATGAATGGACCAATAGAAATGCTCTAAAATCACTTGGAATAAAACCTCTTTACATTAACTTACATTGAACGATAAAAGAGTTTTTGCCTTCTATCGTAAAGTTACTATTTCAGAGATACTTGTTTTTCTTTGGACGGCAACGATATGTTGTGTTTTGGGTGCTGGTATGCTGGTCAACCAGTATTCAATTTATAATTGAAAATAAAGCCTGTCTTGCTGTGTATCATTGTTTTAGCACTCAGCATGAATCCAAGAGGACAGAAAATCAATAAAAAACATGTCCACCTTATGCTAATTATTTATTTTTGCTCATGATAACCAATAGAATGAATCACCATCAAAATTCTTGCAGCTCACAGACACTCCAGACTAACAATTTCTGAAAAGGTCTCTGCAATTCCACTTGTTTTCGAGATCTCTATGAGTAAAAAATTACAAAATTTAGCAGGCGCTGGGTAAATTTTTAATCAAAAATTAAAAAAATTAAGATATCACATTTCTGTTAGCATTTACATGTCAAACAATGGCATATATGAGTAGCCCATGGTCTCCTGAAAATAACAACATATGGCATGTGTGACTGTCTCATGTAAATACTTTATAATTGCAAACGTAATTGTAATTGAGTCAAAATATCAAAAAAATCCCCAAGGTTCTAGGGTTCTAAAGGTTAATGCAAACAATTCTAAACAGAACCATTGTCTTTGCTGAAGTTACTGAATGATAAGCTCCAGTATGTAATAATCCTGAGATTTAAAGGGTTAAGAGTGTAATATTGTGTTCAGGTTTATTGTAAAATGTGGAAAAACCCTTGTTGGTGTGTCAAACTTTTCACTGGTATTTTACACACAGAGGAAAGATTGATAATGAAAACAAAAGGTCCAGACATACAAAAGTGTGACTGCAATGATAATATGGTTATTTTTCTTGCTTATCTTCACATCTTTACAAAATTTCAGGTGTTTCCAAAAAAGCCGGAGGCACCACAATCTGCCCTGGAATCTGCTGAGCCTTCAGTGCAGTGGTGTGACTTCAAAAGCTACTGTCCAGACTGCAGCACCTGCTGCAGGACGCCGAGCGGCTCCTGGTCCTGCTGTGTCTTTTCTAACGTAAGTCTCTCTAGACTAGGACTAACATCTTTTTAACTCAATACACTGTAAAAAAAACAATATATCATCACTGTCCAAAGAAAAACAAGCATCTCCAAATTGATAGCTTTATAGGAGAAGGAAAAAAACTTAACCTTTAGTGTAACTTAATGTAAAGAGAGTTTATTTCAGGAGATCACTCACATCTCTCTATTTACAATTCACTGTACACAACAACAGTAACTTTTCACCAATTTTTCTTCCAATCTCCTCTTCTACTCTGTATTTATTTGTATTTTTGATAGTTTCTATGCTTGTTTCGGTGAGCCTCAAGTGAGACATGGTTCAGATAAATGACTTAATTCCTGAATATTTCTTCATTTTACTGTCCACAAGTCTTCTTTGTTTTAAAATGTCCATATTCCAAAACAATTCTGTTGTTCATTTTTAGATTTAAATGAAAAAAAAATCCAGATTTTTTAATGTGTGCTAAGAATTTTGGACCCCTAATATACATGTTTATACAAATGATAATGTGGGGCATTTTCCAGCTCATATCAGCTTTACATCTCTGCAAAATGTAGAGAGTTTCCAGAAAAGGACTGCACTTTCTGAAGTATACAGGTATAACATGCATAACATGTAAAACGTGTATAGTAGCGCATTATAGAATATTAAGTAATCAAAACATCATTACTCTTCTTTGTCAACTAAGCATTGCAGCTCAAAAGTGAATTTACAACAATATACCAATATATTTATACATATTGGAGGGTCCAAAGGTCTGAGATCACTGGTGAAAATGCTTGTAGCTTGCTTTATTTATTTATTTATTTATTATTTTTACATTACAAATTATTTTAGCAGCATAACAATTTGAGTGAAAACTAGAATCTTTTCATATTTTCATATTTTATAATTTCTCAGTGTTCAGAATGATATGTCCCACTTTTGCTTTAATGACAGCGTGCACTCAAACTGGCATGAACTCCATATGTTTGTGTAAAAACCTCTGATCAGTAGATCAGATCCACCTGACAGTCATCTTAACATGAGTGCAGAATGTTAAACATTTAGTTATAAATTAAAAGAATCTTAAATATTGAAATTTTACAAAATTCTTAAACTTTCTGTTGTTTTCTGTTATTTATTCAGGTTTCATGGGGTTTTAATGTGTTTTCAGACTGTGCACCCCACTTTATTTATTTGTTTGTTTGTTTGTTTGTTTGTTAAAACACTGCACTGTATGCATTAGGGCCTGGCTGATATTAACATTTTGTAATTCTGATATCGATATAAAAACGATGATAACCGGTAATATCAGAGAAAGTCATTTTGCTGCTGTCAGAACTAAAAACTGTGTATCTCCATTTTTGTTGTTTTTCAGTTTTTCACATAATTTGAAAATGCCTGTTGCCCTTTACATTGTGTATAAATTTCATGAAGAATGGACCAACAGAAATGGCCCAAAAATATTTGCTTTATATACAGCCTGCAGTCGTCTAAGAGGTCATAATTACTCTTTAATAATCAGCATATTATTGGTATTTTATTTGCTGATACCAATAAAACCACAGATCGTCAATATCACCCAATATATTACCAACCAATATATCGGTCAGGCTCTAATATGCAGGTGCAGTAAAGAGTCGACTATCTCTAATAAACGATTAAAGGCAGTATGTGTCATGCAAATTGTTTTAGCACAGTGTTTTGGGGCTGAAGTATTTGCGGTTTTCACTGTAAGGGTTTCATGTTGTGCTTTAGGGTCAGTGCTGTCCAGATGGCCTGCATTGCTGTGCTAATGGCTATCGCTGTGATTCCACATCCACCCGCTGTCTGATAGGAGGACTGAGTATGCCCTCATCCCCACAGCGTCCAGCTATTACTGTCAACAGCACCGTCCACCGTGACTATGAGGTGAGGATTTCTCACAGAGAGACATTCTGTATAAGACAATATCAACAATATCATATAAACATTGATAATAAATTATAGTGTTGGTAAATAAAATAAAAGTTAATTGTGCTGGAAGCACTAGAAAGTCTAAACATCTTTTCAGTGATATAAAACTTATTCTCTTGTGGATAATTGCTTATAATACAATACAGAAAGTTTCAAAACATTGTTGGAAGCTGTAAAAAAGTAAGAATAGAGCAGGAGATATTTTCTGTGATCAAAATTTGAAGCATATAATTTGACAATCTTGTAGTTTACAAAATAAATGTAGTTGTGTTCAGTTGAAATGTACTTACTCTGACTCTTGTTGGACTTTGATGTGGCACCTGTACCCAAAAATTGTATTCATTAATATTTTTGGTCAGTAAAGTGATCTGTAATTTCAGGAAGTGAGATCCAAAGTGGTCAAAGAGGCTGACTCTTCTCCGATGGTGCCAGTAAACAAGGCTCTAGAGACTCCCGATGGATGCCGAGATTGTTCGTTGTGATGCCCGCAATGGCTGCCCAGTGGGAAGTACCTGCTGCAAGATGCTGAATGGAGAGTGGGGATGCTGTCCTTATACAGAAGTAAATACTGATAAAGATGCATTAACTCTTTAGCATGTCATTTAATAAGTAATATAAATGAATTCAATTAGTAATAGTAATTATCCTGTAATCGCAGTGAAATTATTCAGTAACTACTATGCATATTCAGTAATTTATATGAAAGATTCATTAACTACAGGTCATTATAGAGTATCTACAATAATTATTCAGTAACTACAGTGTAGTTACACAGTAACTACATGGTAGTACAGAATCTGAAAGGAATCATTCAGTAACTACAATTCATTATTCAGTAACTACTATGAATAATTCATTAAATACTATTACTGTGAACTACCTACTATGAAATTATTCAGTACTACTATTAATTATTTAGTAACCGTAAACTATTCAGTTAGTACAATTATTTATGAAGGCCACTAATCTCAAATTTCACAGCTCAATTTGATTAAATTACAGTACAATACACTTACTTTAGGGGATTTCTACATTTGATAGCAGCCTAAGTATTATATTCTGATCAAAAATTTCATAACAATGTAATTTGAGCATTTCAGAAGCAATGCATTTGAATCGCCTTCACATCGATGCCACTGCTAAGTACTGCAGTTACTCCACTGTGGAGCTCAGAATCAGTGACATGGTCATTTTTTAAAGGGTCAGTGCTGTGAAGACAGAAAGCACTGCTGTGAATCCGGCTACGAGTGTGACGGCTCAGTGTCCTGCAAGAAGGGTTCGCTGAACGTTCCTGCCAGCCTGAAGGAGGCGCCGCTGAACCTGTGAGTCTACACCACTGGAGGTGCAATGCTAATCAGCCAGATATCCAAGCCACTTAATAAATCATAATCACTGAAATCATTAAACTTACTTTATGGGTTTGGGGAGAATTGTGATGATTTTTTTAAAAGATTCTTGAATTTTTACCCTATTGACACTGAGAATACTCAAAAAAACACTGGTGGGGCTGACCTTCAGGATGATTTTGTCAGAAATCTTGGCGAAACTCATTCCCATTACAAAGCCAGGAACCGTAATTCATCGCCAGGCAAGAATTAAAAAAAAACAAAAAAAAACATTGTCAGTCTTTCCAGCGGAGCACTAACTGCTGCACCATGAAATCATGTAATCATGTAACTGCTTAATTTCTTTATGTAACTTCTAACGATCCACAGGAAACCAGTGTGAATTTGAATTTATATTTGCACCAACAGTTGTACATCTGCTTGTTTGACATCAGAATGATCTTTACATCTTGAGTTTGTTACAACTGCATAAATGTGATTGTGATTGAAATCAGTGACCAATCTGAGTCTCTATTCATCTGATCAAAAGCTGAAGAGCATCTTTCAAATAAGTATGATTTACTTAAAATGAATAAAATCATATTAAAACACTGATTTTATGGTCTTGTTCTTCGTCACTGCTGTATATGACTATGATGTGCTCACTCATTATATGTGTTGATCATTTGCACTGAGTTAGTGTGTTCAGTTCACACAGTGTAATAAGAGCTTCAGTCTTACACTCGGACTGTTGATGGTGGTGTTCTCTGTGCTCAGACAATGTACATTTTTACAGTCCGGCATGTTAGTAAGAATGATGCACTGTTCACCTTGAGGCACAACTCCCTAAACAAGAGAAGACGAAAAAAAAAAACCCTGAAACTCTATTCTTCCATGTTTTACTTGAAATTCCAGATTTGTGACTCACATGGCCTTAAGCCAGCATTTTACATGTTTTCCTTGAGGGAAAATCAAACGGTTGAGATCATTTTTCCACAAGGAACTAAACGGTTTCAGTGCAAATGCATGAATAGACAAAACTAGAAAGCGGAAATTTGTGAACGAACTTTAACATCTAATTACTTTAAAATGTTAAAATGGTGAAAGACTGTTGAAGGTTGCTGAAGTGTTGCTTAGATGTTGTTAGGTGGTTGCTAAAGTAGCCAAGGTGGACTGTGATATGTTGCCAGGTTCTACCTTAAACTACTTTAAATCCACTGCCACCTTAATTTCAATGCCACCTTAAACTTACCGCCATCTTAAATGTAATACCTTAAATTCACTGCAACCTTAAATTTACTAATACCTTAAATTCACTGCGTCTTTAAATTTACTGATATCTTAATACATTGCCACCTTAAATCCACTGCCACCTTAAATTTACTGATACCTTAAATCTGTTGCTACCTTAAATACTCTGCTACCTTAAAACCATGGCTGCCTTCATGCCACTGTTACCTTAAACCCAGTGTCTCCTTAGATTCATTATATTAAATGCACTGCTACCTTAAATTCACTGCCCCCTTACATTTACTGCTACATTAAATTTATTGCCACCTGAAATGTAGTGATATCTTAAATTTGCTGATATTTTAAATTCACTGCCACCTTAAACATGCCAAATTTAATTTGTTCTCTATAGAGGATGTGCTACTTAATGTCACTCAGAAAATCAACAAAACATGGCATTTGCCCATGGCATGCAATGCATGCAACTGTACAAACATCAAGCCAAGGGCAGAGAGCAAGGTGCATTTTCAATTCATTTTCTGCTGGAGGTTTTAGTAGTTGTATTTCTGTAATTGCTGCTATTGTAAAGTCTGGCCTTTCTGGAATCTGGATTTCTGTGGTTATATGACAGAATATAGTGTTGGAGAAACGTAGGCTGTGGGGATGGACAAACTGGCATTTCTTTAATGTTCTTTTTTGGCATTGTCCCTCATTGAGTTTTTTTTTTTTGTCTATTACTTGTATTTTCCCACAGGTCACGCACTTATCTGGGTGCTGTGTAAAGAATCAAACCTTTTAACTTGTACAAACAGAGCACAGAGGACATGTCCTTGTTCTTGTCCAAGATGATGCACAAGATGCCTGAGAGAGAGAAAGAAAGAGACAGAGAGAGAGAGCTTACATAAAATCTCTGAAACACAGGGTGTTGTGGTTTCTCAATGCTACAAACTCTAACACAGAAGTCCCTCAGCTTGAGAAAAGATGTTTTGAACAATGAGAGCATTTCACAGCGGTTAACAGAGGACGACGAGCAAAGTCCTGGTCAGACAGACGGACTGAGAAAGAGAAAGCAATCCAAAAATTATACCAAAAATTGTATAACTTTTCTAGCAATAAAACAGATAAATCTTTAATAGACTACTAGTTTTATTTGGATCTGCTGCATTTTATATTCACATACAACCTAAACTAGCTTTGCAGTGTCGAGTCAGAATATCTTCACTGCTCCCTCCTGACTGGACTGACCGCTGAAGCACACATACACTATAAACATGGTGATTTAGGGTCTTTTGCGTGACGCTGCAGATTCCACTCCGCTGAATTCCACATTGAAACTACAGCAGGTCCAAGTGTCTTCACAGTGACTGGAATCAAGGCTGGGGCGTTCCTGTAATCGACACTCGCTCCATGTGATCTGGATTTTCTCCTGCTCTGATCAACAGCAGTGTTTTTTAAATGTCTGAGTCAGAAGATGATTTTTAGAACACTCAGCAGAATAAACAGATCAGAATAAACAGATCAGAATAAACAGATCATCAATGATGCTGCACAGCATCCCCAATCTGAACTCTCAGTGTGGTTCTGAAATTCTCAATGTGGTTCTGGAATTCTCTGTGGTGTTCTCATTGTGGTTCTGGAACTCTCAATGGATTTACAGAATTCTCAATGCTGTTCTCAGTGTGGTTCTAGAATTTCCAGTGTTGTTTTCAGTGTGGTTCTAAAATTCTCAGTGTGGTTCTGGAATTCTCAATGTGGTTCTAGAATTCTCAGTGTTGTTCTCAGTGTGGTTGTGGAATTCTCAATGTGGGTCTAGAATTCTCGTGTGTTATTCTCAGTGTGTTTTTAGAATTCTTAGTGTTATTCTTAATGGGGTTGGATAATTCTCAGTGTTGTTCTCAGTGTGGTTCTAGAAGTCTCAGTGTGGTCCTAGAATTGTCAGATGTGGATCTAGAATCCCCAGTGGGCTTCTAGAAACCTTAATCTGGTTCTACAGTTTTCAATTTAGCTCTAGAATTTCCAACTTGGTTCTAGAATGCTCAGTGAGGTTAGAGATTCTCAGTGTGGCTCTAGAATCTCCAATGGGGTTCTAGAAATCTTAATGTGGTTCTGCAATTCTCAATTTAGCTCTAGAATTCTCAGCACGGTTCTAGAATGCTCAATTCGGTTAGAGAATTCTCAAAGTAGCTCTAGAATTCTTATCGCTGTTGTAGAATTCTTGATGGGGCTCTAGAATTTTCTGTACATTTCAGGAATTTTCTGTACATTTCAGGCTCTTGAACTCTCGCTGTAGGTAAGGAATTTTTGAATGCTATTTTTAAGTAAGTAATTCATATTTGTTATTGTGTTAATTCTTTATGTATGCAAACAAGAGCAAAATGGTCAATTACAAAGACGGCAGATATATAGTGTGGTTCAAGAATATATACAGGTGGGCCTGAAAACCCTGACTCCTTTTTGAACAGCCTTGCTTCCATATATTTTGCCCCAAAGCCCGGCAGTAAAAATATAGCTGTCAAGGCTGAATGCTGGAATGCCTGTGAGAAGAGTTGGAGAAAACTAATTTCATTTCAGAGCAGACTTCTCTCAACTGTTGCTCACCATGAATCAAAGCAATCAAGCGTTTTTGTCCAGCAGTCATTCTATGTTGTATTTCACCACCATACCGCAACCTATGGCCAGGTGTTAATCACCGATCTTTAGAACTGCACTCTAGTACGTCAACAATAATTCTTCCCAGCATTTTTCCTTTTCATTAATCTATGACAAAACAGCACTGCGGATGTCAGGGCCACCATGGTTGAAGGGTCTACAGAGTGAAGATAAAGTGAAGATGAAAATGTGTTGATGAAGGTTATTCCACTCCCATCTCTTCAAATGAACAGCGAGTGGCAGACATTCTGGAAACCCTGGCTTTGTGGTGGAACAATCCCTCATTCATTCTTCTGTCCTGTTTGTCTTCATGGTATGCATTTATAAGTGTTCTCTCCCTATATATGTAGCACTTTATCTCTCTCATATTTATAAGCAATTTCTATACCTTACATTCATTTTCAATGCTGAGTAATGAACATTTTACATAAGAATTATATGTTGGATTGGCAATGGAGTGTGGTTCCAGGATCCTAGTGTAGTATTAGTCTTATTGTAGTTTTAGAATCTCAGTGTGTTTGTAAATTTCTCCATAGGGTTCCCAAAAATTCCCAGTGCTGTTTCCAGTGAACTAGTACGGTTCCAGTTTTCTCAGTATGTTTCTAGAATTATCCATGGGATTCAAAACTCTCATTTTGGTTGCAGAATCTTCAGCAGGGTTCTAGAAATCTCTCAGTGCCTTTCCCAGTGAAAACAAGTGGTTTAGAATTTTCAGCGTAATTCCCAATAAACTAGTGAGGTTCTAGAATTCTCAATGTGGTTCTCAAGTTCTCAGCGTGTTTTTAGAATTTTTCATGAAGTTTCAGAACTTTGGTTTTAAAATCTTCAGTGTGGCTCTAGAATTCTCAATGTGCTTCTAGAATTCTCAGTGCCATTCCCAAAGAACTAGTGATGTTCCAGAATTTTCAGTGTGTTTCTAGAATTCTTAGTGTGATTCCAGAATTCCTGGTGCTGTATTCAGTGATTTAGAGCAGTTTTAGAATTCTCAATATAGTTCTAGAATTCTCTGTTGTGCTATTGAAATTTCAGAATGGTTCTAGAATTCTCCAAGGGCTCTTAGAATTTCTCATAGAGATATATAACTTTTTGGTATGGTTCTCAATGTGGTTCTAGAATTGTCTCTGTGGTTCT